TCTTAGGTGTAACTTCCTCACAGGGAAGCGGCTTCAGCCAGGTGTCATGTGAGTGGCCTCCTTCCAGGATGATGGCAATAATTGTTACCTGGAAAGCTGTGGAAAGTCACCTCAGGACTCCAGTTGCAAATCTTTCTTTAGATTCTCTGTCTCAGCCTCTCTACTATCAATCATCAAAAATGCAGACTTCTCTCATGAGTCAGAGTTTTTCCCTAAGTCTGATCCACTGCCAGGTATTAGAGTTTCTATCTCTGTTTTCTAGGAGCAGTGAAAACATTCTGAGTTGGTCACTTTTCATTAAATAAAAACAAAGTTCTCTTGATATTTTCTCCTTCCCTTTATCACTAAGAAAAGAATCTTATTTTTTTCTTTCAGCATTCCTAACATTTGCAAATTCACATATAGGTCGCTCAAATGGTCTTTCCAGAAATTTCCCTCTTAATTGGACTGCTTTATACAAAAGTCAGCCTGCCAGTATCTGCAGTCAGACAGATTCTGGAAAATCAATATGCCAGACCAAATTATCAGGTAGAGGTATTAGATTCCCCAGGTATTAGATTGTTCTATATTTCTGTTTGATAAAAACACTGTGCCTTTGCATAATCCTTGACAATTACCCAAAAGTATAAAAGCCACAGACCAGGCAGATGAGCTTTATCGGCATAGATCCCTTCTCTGGGAGAAAAAAAAAAAAATGAGCATTTGCAGGCACCGTGTATGTTGAGAGTTTGAAATTCTAAACAGTCTGTAAACTTAGCTTGCCTAAATCTGCAGTCTTAAAAAGTAAAAGTATCTTACTATGTTTGGCACAGTAACTTAAGACCTAGGTTTATCTCATTTTCTAAAATTCAAGACAAAAAAATTACATTCCTATAAATATATCCAGAATAAAACGTCTTTTTAAACTAGAGAGTTCTCATGATGGAGATAAATAAATAGTTGGGAGAGTGTTGAGTTAGAGTCCCAGAAAACTTGGAAACTGACAAGAAGTGTCCTGTGAACACTCACATTGAATGGCTACATGCGCTGCTTATATAGGAGAGAAGGTTGTCTGCTACTTTTATCTGTGGACATGCTAAACTATAACAAGGTTTCCATTCTCTGCACTGGACTTATTCATCTCAGTTTCGGCTTCTGGTTTCCACTCTTGTAGTAGATTAGAAATCTTTAGTCTCTGCGTGGACAAACCCTGCTCACCTTTTCTGTACCTATGAAGGCACCTTCCATTTCCAGCAGTAGCTCTGTGAGGCTTATCCTTTCTCTCCACTTCAGGAGCCCACCCCCTTTCTCTGGGAGAATCCACAGAACGCCTCTGAGCCCCTTCTCTGAGCCCCCTACTCAAGACTGAGGAAGGAGGCCCCGTCTCCTATACCCCAAACAGCCTCAGGTGTCTGGCCGTGTTACATCCAATTGTGTGGTTTGATCCTTGTTCAATATCAAAGCCCATGCTTTGTCTTGAAGACCAGAATCTTATTTCACAATTTTCTTTCCCTGAGAAATTTATGTCTCCTTCTGCCGCCTTGGATGTCTCCCATTGTGCACACTGCAGCAAATAATTTTCTTTCCCTGTGTCTTTCTCTTTGGCATTCTTAACTTGTTGATCAATAAATTACCTCCTGCCAAGCTCCATCAACCTGGCTTCTTCTTTCACCACTTACATCCTTCCTTTTGTGTTTAAGAAAGCTGTATTGTTATTATCTTTTCCTTAACCCCCAGTGAAATCTTTTTATTCTCTCTCTGTGTTTCGCTTATCATTTAGCTTCATTCTCAGTCCAACTGTCCTCATCTGTACCTGCTGCCTTCTGGTCCTCAGCATTTTCCTCTTTACAGAAGTGGTGCAAACACTTCCGGAACCACACGTTCCTCTTGTGATCACATCAGGGTGAGGAAATTGCTGGTGATAACAATAGAAGGAAGGGAAGCCAGAGCAGGCATTCAGCCCTCAGCTAAACAGAGTGTGTGTCCTGAGCTCCCTGGGAGGCTGATACCCGCTAACAGAGCAGTGCCTGGGTCTCCTCTGAGAAACTAAGTAAACTGTCCCTCACAGCATCTGCCTGATAAGTGCTTCCAAGGGTTAGAGGAGACCGAGCAAGCAGTGTACTTGACAGGGTGACACACAGCAAGCCCCCAGAAAGTATTGTGTACTATTGAGATTGTAAGAAGCAAGCAATAAAGACGCAGTCTGTGCTTCGGATTTGAAAGATGAAGCCACGTGTTAGGCAGAAGATGCAACGTCCAGCTGGGAAACCCAGCTGTAGTTGTTCACTCAAATAACTCTTCAGACTAACCATTTATCGGGCCCCGATTATGAGATGCTATAAGAAATAGCATAGGCGACCTGAAGACAGAGACACCCAGTATTTTACTAATGGAAAGTACAGGCTCTGTAAATACTTGAACTCTCCCTTGTGAACCCCCTGACCCACACTGGGCCCCGTGCTGGTTACATTCACACATCACTGTGTTGCCCAGTCTTGGATATGTGTTGCTGTAGGCACAAGAACCATTCTGTGCAATCTTGCATCACAAAATTGAGGGAGTTATTCCCTTCACGCTTCTTTGTAAAGTCATTCCAGTGATGTCAAGCCCCAGATCTTTGATGACATTTTAAAGCCCTCTCCTCGCACTTACCAATCTTCATTTGTTTAGATCTGAGAGCTAGCTTTAAGCTCTCCGACTCTCCAGGTGACCATATCTAGCTAGAGTTCAAGCACAACTTTTTCAATGTATTTATTTTTATAACTTTTTTCTTTTTTGGAAATTCACCAAAGACTGGTCTTCCACTTTTTGCAGTAATGTGAATTTCCCTATGAAAATAAATTTAGATTAAAAAGTAGATTTGTTTGAAGAAAATATTAAATAACAGTACAGTTAAAATAGGTAAAAGTTGGAGGTGATTACTAAAAAGACAGATCTAGTAAGCACCATTCTAATTTCCCCTCATTTACTTGGGAAATTAAAAAAAAAAATCAGTGTACCTAATGCTACCCCAGACCAGCTAAGTTAAAAACTCAAAGGTCTTAAAACCTGTATTTTCTATTTTTCTTTAAGAAGTTTCAAATTATTCTAATGAAAAGCCAGTTTAGAACTGAAAATGTCCCATTATTATGTACAATTTTTATGTTTTTATATATCTGTTTAAACTTTAAAAACTTAAGGAAATACTTCAGAGGGGGAAATGAGCATTTTATCTGATGAGAAAAAAATATCAATTTTCTTTCTTTTACGTAGCTTTTTGCATTCATTCAAAAACCATTTTCTGAGTATCTACTGAGTATAATGCCCTATGGGCTAGAAAGGCAGTAGAAAACAACAGAGTCCAGGGGCTACCACCATGGATGGTAGTTTATGTTTAGTAGGGACTCATAAGTACTGTGTTCCCTGAATTTTTGCCTGCTTATAAATGTTGTTTATGCTAAATCGCAGCCTGAAAGAAAATACAGTTGTCATAAATTTGTAGATGTGCTTTTTTGGTTATATTTCTGACGTTGAACTTATTATAGAGAGAAGCCAACCTTTTTTCCTCTTGAAAATCATCTTTAAAGATTTAGATAGTCCGTAAGTCCTCTTTCTACCCAAGGTAAAATTACTTCACCAATCCTAGCTCTGCTGGTTTTAACTAAATTACTTCATGACTTAATGTCATATAACCTCAGAGCCTCAGTCCCCGGAAGTCTATAAAATATTTATAGTATCGACCATGAAGGAATTGGGGTATATATAAAGGAGGTAGGACCTGTAAAGTGTGTGGGGCCCAGTAGGTATTTAGAAAAGGACCCAGTGCAAGTCAGTTTTACAGATGTGAGATCCAAAGTCATCCAATGAAGTGTGAATTAGGTTTGGTCCAAAATACCCTTTTAAAAGCCCCATAAATCCTTCCTGGCTTTAATAAGCTACACAAAATAGTATGTGGTATGGGGGCAGGGGATTTAGCTCAGTGGTTCCGCCACCTGCCTTGCAAGCTCAAGGACCCAAGTTCAATCCCCGGTACCAAAAAAAAAAAAGTTTGTAATATGAGTATATTGAATCGAAAAATGTATAAAGCTCTACAAAAAGTATGGAAACCCATTTATGAAAAGCACAGCCCTTTCAACCATACCAGCACCAGATGCTCAGCACATGACCCCCCCCCACCTTTAGAAGAGAAGATTCTCTGCCCACCTCCGTCTTATCCCCATTTGGGGGCCTCTACTCATTTAATGGGATGCAGTTGCAATAGGTCAACATGATTTAAATGTGTTTCCCTCTTGCTTTTTTCTGTTTCATGCAAAACACATATGGTTGAATTCACATAATAAATACATATGTGATGTAACTCGGTATATGATTATTATTTATAGATTAAAAGCAAAATAAACACTCACCTGAATATGAAATAGGTAGAAGTCAAGTATAGTAATTTGATGTTCAACTACACTGATTTCAGATGAACTCCACATTCGTCCTCTTTTCTCTCTGTATGATTAGTTTTCCCTTCCTTTCCTTTCTGTTAGCCTCAGACCCTCCTGGTTTTTAAAAGGAGATCCTCTGCTTTGGCTGCTGGAGAGAGTAATCCATATTCCTCCCTTCAGCGAGAAAAAAAATTATGGAGTTTATAGTCCTAGGAAAAAGAACCCTCTATCTCTGCCAGCTCCCCGCCCCGCCCCCCATGCAATGGGCTTTCGTTTCACAAACCCAGAGGGTAAAGAACAAGTCCAAAATGAGCACGGAGGGGAGGCAACCTTGCAAACTTGAAGGGCACAGAGATGGGCTGCAGAGTTCGGGAGGGACACAGCAGAGTGCTGCTGCCTATCCCCGCGGGGTGTGGCGACACGGCCAGAGCAAAGCTGTGCAAGGAAAGTTGTCAGGGTCTTAGTGAAGAAGGTTCATGCAAACAAGACCAGGCATCGGTCACCCCAAGAAGTGTGGTTACTGAAGAAGTGATTACCTAACTATGCCATTCAAGATAGACTATTTGAATATGGTCTGACCATTTACCACAGTTTAACAGTCTGGTTTTTAAAAGATGGAGTGAGGCTAGCGTTCAGTGGTGGTGCGCTTGCTTGACATGCATGAGGCTCTGGGTTCAATCCCCAGCACTGCGAAAAAAAAAAGAAAGATTACTTGAGGAGGGCTCGTAGGACTTCTAAGACTGGCAGGAAGGTGGAAGAATATTGTGAGGGAGAGTTAAATAAACGGGTTCATTGCCTGAAGAAGATTGAAAGGCAATTATAACAGCATTGCAAACAAAATAAAATTTCCATCCAGGGAATAGTGACCAATTGTGCTCTGCTTCCCTTGAACGAGAGACTGTTAAAGTCTAAATTAAAGCACTAGGAACTCAAGTTAGAAAATGATTCCTGGAGGAATCGTGCCAGATTAAAGAAGGAAGCCGGAGAATGCATCGTTTTCTTCAGGACTCTTAAAGCTGTCAGACTGTGCTCCCCTCAACCGGGTCCATGCGGGGCTGAGGGAGAGGAGCGCTCTACTGACTGGAGCAGGCGGGGCCAGGGCGGACACGGGGGAGGGGAAGTGCAGAGTGGGGTGGACAGGGCAACGCCCACCACAGAGTGTGCAGATGATTATGCATGTGGCACATCCACGGAGCAAGGAAAAGACCTGTCAGAGGGGCCGGGCTCCTCCTTCTCCTTCCTTGGTTTCTCTCCTTGCTGTCTCCTGCCTTCCTTTCTTTTTTGGGTTTTTTTTTTTTTTTTTTTCTCATTGAGTTTATTGGTACATTTTAGGTATACGGTACAGTTACATTCATTACTGGGATCCTGTACCTTTACTTGACAGGTCTTGGTTCTCATTTTTCCCCCTGTCCCTGCCCTCCCTTCACCCCCTCCTCCCCTCCCTATTTACAAATACTTTATTTCCATTTTGTTTCATTTTCTCATATTTTTTCCTTTTCCCTTAGTACCTTTCCCCCACCCTTCCCACTTTCCCTACACCATTAGCCCTTTTCTTCCTATTTCACATTGTCAATTATCTCATTAGGATCTTATGTACGATTATAGTTTATTCACACCAGAGAAACTATTCGATATTTATACGTGTGACTTATTTATTTCACTTAGGAGTATATCCTCAATATGTATCCAATTTCCTATGAATGAATCTAATTTCTCATTCTTCGTGGCTGAGTAGTATTCCATTTTATAGAAAAGCCACATCTTCTTTATCCAGTTTCCAACTGATGGGCAAACGGGCTGTTTCCAAGTTTTAGCTATTACAAACTGTGCTGCTGTCCTTTCTGATAGCACAGAGCACTTGAGATGAATGTGTGATATTGTCAGGGCTGGAGTGACACACTGGAGGCCACAATGAAGTCATCAGTAGAAGCAGAGAACGAGCCAGATATGCAGACAGAAACAGTTTAGGAACCAGGCGGAGCTGGGCTGGATGGTGCATGCCTGTAATCCTAGTACCTTGGGAGTCTGAGGCATGAGGATTCCAAGTTTGAGCCCAGTCTGGGGAATTTAGCACTTGGTGAGATCTGGTCTCAAAAATCGTGTGTTACTGAGTATGTAGCTCTATCCTAAGGCTTTGAGTTCAATCTTCAGTACTAGAAAGAAGGAAGGGAAAGAGGCAAAGAAAAAGAAAGAGACAAAGAATACTTTCCCACCACGACCCTAACATGTTGTGCAGTCTCTGTTACGTCTCACATGCTCCACTCCAGTGTTGATAATCTGTTTTTTGGTGTGTTTTTTTTTAATCCTACAGTCATCCTTTCGTTTTTGTTTCAGGGTTTGTTTGTTTTGTTTAATAAATTTGAGAGATTCCTGTTTCTTGAAATCTAAAGAGTCTAGAGTAGAATATTCCTTCCCCTCACCGCCTTTTTCTCCCATATGTCACTCTTTCCAGGGCTAGGCCGTCCTTTTTCTCTACACAGCCCTATTTCTGCTGCTTTTTTTAGATACTCATTTCTCTTCCTCACCCCATGCCTCTTCCTCTGGTCTTTGCTATTCCTGCAGTCTCCCCTTGGAACTAGCAAACTTTCCTCTCTGGAGTTACTGCTCCCCCGTTTACTCTATGAAGCAAGTTCCTTTTCAGGATTAATGACGTTCAAATTCAGCCCTGTCGTGGGGAAGAGAGATGTAAGGTGTGCTCAAGCCAGACTTCAGAATCCTGTCATTGGCTCATCTCCGTCTTCTGACTGGCCTTTTTCAGGCAAAAAAACAATTATCCCGAGCCCACAGCTGATGAGCTTTGGCCCACAAAGTCCCATGGTCATATACAGCACTCCCTATATTTGCATTTTATTGTTAAGAGAGAGGGATAGATCCCAGAGAGGAAAGGTTAGAAAATTACAACTCAACTTTGGCAGTCAATAGTGTAGGAGAGATTTGACTTGGCATTAATCTTTTTTTTTTTTAAGGCTCAGAAATTTTAGGTGACAATATGATGTGGATTATTATGAAAGTAAATGTTTCAAGCTATATAAGCAGAAAGCACCTACCTTCTTCTTCTGTTGTGAACTAGTCTCAGCTTATAAAGCAAAGCATCGGTAGAGGCCAAAGGTTCCTGACCATGACTAAAGTGTTAAGATTGGAGGCATCGTTTATTCAAGGGAAGTGGGGCACTTTGAGAGATGTCCTCAGATATCCAAAGGACAATTATAAAGAGGAAAGGAATGGCCTGATTTTTGTCAACCTAGGGAACTGACAGGTAGACATTTCAGAAAAGCTCATCACAAGAATGATGAGTTGGGCTAATTACTGCTGCTTAAGTTTTCCTAGGAAGAATCCAGTACAAGGTAAAAAATATTTTATTAGATACAATCTCACTAGGTTGCTTCCAGGCTTATCTTAAATGCATGTGCTCAGGCAATCCTCCTGCCTCAGCCTTCCTAGTAGCTGGGACCATACGCCAGACTGAAGAATTTTAAGAATCCTGCCCTGGCAAAGCATTAGACGTGATGACTTCCCTACATTACAAAAATAGTACATGTTCATAGCAAGTCAAATAATACTACACTGTGACCTCATATTCAAGGTAGCTAATGTTACTAGTTTGTTAGGTGTGTTTCTATACCTTTCAGCATTTCTCTGCATATATGCATATATATGTGTGTGTGAATGTATGTGATTCCATTTTGTTTTTTTCTGAAACTGAATGTATACTGTAAACATTATTCAGTAATATAAACATCTTTCTTGGTCAATGTACCTTTGAAATGTAGGTATTATAAAGTACAGGTATTCCATAATTTATTGAATTATTTTCTCTGTTGATAGACATTTGAGTTGTTTCTAGATTTTGAGCTAATATAATTGCAACAAACACGGCTACAATGAGTGCCCTCGAACATTTAGTGTTACATTTCAATTTGTATAGGATTGTTTATATTAAAGGAAAATTCACCGGATGAATGGATTAAATATTTGGTATCTATGCCTAATGGGATATGACCATAAAGAAAGTTGAACCTGAAACCATAATGTTAAGTGAAATACATCAGGCACAAGTTTAAATATTACATGGTTTCTGTCACATGAAAAACCCAAAGTATAAATAAAGAGCAAAATAAAATATAGATAATAGAAAGTAAGGATATTGATCTTTCTCAGATGAGAAAGGGGATCGAGAGATGGAAGGAGGGGAAGGGAGAGGAGATGACAAAATTAAGATGGACCACATGAGGACTGTAAATGCAATATACTGCAAACAAGTACTAATAAAAACTCTTTTAAAATTAAATTTTAAAATATAGATATTATTTTCACTTCAACAGCTACTTGTGAAAATCTTCATGCAACTTATATTCCTGCTAGCAAATGAGCATTAGTCATGCCATCTCCAGGATGGGATCATGCGCTCACTTGTGTTACTTTTTACCCGTTCGGTGGAGAGGCAGCAGCGTACGTACAGTGGTAAGGATTGTCTTGGGCACGACGCCTGAGTACCCAGCTCAGCTCCAGCCGGTGCTAGTTGTGTGCTCTAAGACTCAGTGCCACTCTATGTCTAGGTTGCTTTCATCTGTAAAAGCAGGATGACATGAATATCTGCTGTATCAAACAACTGTAATGACCTTAAATATATTGCTAGTTATAAAACCTAGACCAGTGGCATATAGAAAATTCTTTACAAGTGAAGATTAAAAGATTAGTCAGAGAGGCCAGGGATTTAGCTCAGCGGTTCGGTGGCCTGCCTTGCAAGCGCAAGGACCCGAGTTCAATCCCCGGTACCACAAAAAAAAAAAAAAAAAAAGAAGATTAGTCAGAGGAATCTGGTAAGATTAAAGATCTCTGAAGACTTAATTTGCAAGCCGGGCATGGTGGCGCACGCCTGTAATCCCACCACTCGGGAGGCTGAGGCAGGAGGATCTCTGGGAGTTCAAGACCAGCCTGGACTACACAGTGAGTTCCAGGTCAGTCTCAACTACATAATGAGACCCTGTCTCAAAAAAAACAACAACTGAGAATCAAGACTTGTCATGTAGAGGTACAAGATCCCAACAATGAATGTAACTGTACTGTATCCCTAACTCAATTAAAGCTGATAAAACAACAACAACAACAACAACAACAAAAACAAAAAGACTTAATTTGCATCTCCCAGACCTAATTATATTGGCATATTTATTTCTTATACACAGGTCCTGCTTCCTTGCTTTCCCCTTTCTCTGAATTTTCTGGTTCTATCTTCTGCTCACATCTTTACTGAGCTTTGTCTCCATTTTTAAGAATCTTTATGTATTATGAATAGTAACTCTTTTCCTGTTGTTTTTATCTTCCACACATAATTTCCTATTTTATCTGTTTATATAAAAGTAATAAAAATAGCTCCTTTTAACTTCTAAAGCTAAAAATTTGAAAACCCTAGAGCCTGGGGATGTAGCTGAGTGGTTCTACCACCTGCCTCACAAGCACAAGGTCCCAAGTTCAATCTCCAGTACAAAAAAAAAATAACAATAATAATAATAATAAAATAAAACCCTCAATCAGTACAAACCTGTAAGAATCATTTACACCCATGAAACCTCATGCTTCAAAAGATAACCTCTTTTAAGGGTTTAGAATATGGAAACTCTTCCATTTGCCCTTGAATTTACTGGCTTGTTGCCCTTTTGGGCGTGGCTCTTCGGGAGGGTGTCAGTACTGATTGGGTTCCACCCTACAGGCATTGTGACCCGTCTGGTGGTGGGGTCCAGGCATCAGTTTTTAAAGCCTTATTTGATTCTAATGCGCAGCCAGAACTGGGAATCCAGCCTTAAAAGGTCATTCAGAAGTCAATTGGTTCCCCAATGGCAATGTCACTAGTAATCACTACTGCCATCTGTTGGCCAGAGGCAGAACTGATATAGTTTACATAACAGGTGACATTGTTCAAATCTAGAAAGGTCAGATTTTCAAGTTTTGGAAGTGTATCTGTATTCATCCAGGCCTGTTACTATAAAGGGCCTCTCAGGCAACTTCCAGCTGTAAGATTCTTGAAATTAATATCAAATTATCTTCTTGGTGCTGTATATTCTACAGCAATAAATGACAATGCAATCTAATATTCCTGGGAGTCATCAAAGATCCAGTGATATTTATCCTAATAATAGGATAAAGTACATCATCAAATTTTATAAATGTTTTCATCAATAGCAGAGATAAAAAAACTGTTTTGTGATTAATCCTAGCAAAACTAATAAAAGTCATTAAAATGTTGCTTCCTTCTATCTCACTTCTTCCCCATCCATAAACATTAGTTGAAATTTTCTTCCTCTGGAATATTTTAGGATATTTCCTTTTTTCTCATGGAATTACACAATGTGAACTATCAAGAGAAATAACAGGAAAAACAAGCATGCTTTGAGAAATAGTGATGTTGGCAGAGAATGGAAATGTCTGGAGAAAAAACAAGACAAATCTAGCAGAATTACAGGTTTCTGCATGGGCTAGTAAGGGAACCATGAGTTTATCTTCTGAGGGAAAGGTGCTTTTCCTCTCTTCTCTGTACATATGCCAAACGAAGTCAGTGACACTAAGAGCGTGAAACTGTCGTCTCCCATGAAGATCATCTTTAATCCATTGAGTTCAAAATGCATATATTAATTGCCCAGCAGCTTTTATAAGTTGTATGTTATTCCTGCTGCTGGCAATAGGAGAATGAGCGTTCATATAGCTAAACGCATATAAGTATGTGGGAGTGTGGACAGATGTGTATATGTATGAGTATTATATGTATATTATACATCCACATATATGTATATAAAATGATTTTTTAACCCAAAACATTTTTATGAGCTGGGTATTTTTGCTGCCTGTTGTGGAAGCCGATGCTGGATTTCTTCTTTCTGCTCAAGATTTGAATTCTATTTCTGAAGGATTTCCTCAAGACTGGATTTCCTAACTTTGAAACTATTGACCATTTAGCCCAGCTAATTCTTTGTTGCTAGGGAAATGGTCCTGTACATCACAGGGCATTAATGTTAAGCAGCATCCTTGGCTTCTACAACAAACTTTCCCTCTGTTGTAGCAAGCAGCTATATCTTGATGTTGCCTGGTGGCATAATTGCCCTCCTATTAAGATCCCCTGCTTTAGAAATTGGGGTTCTTGTGGCCCTGTTTGAAGAGAGTTATTTTTCATTGTTTTGTTTGTTTGTTTGAGACAGGGTCTCACTGCATAGTTGAGACTGACCTGGAACTCACTATGTAGCCCAGGCTGGTCTCAAACTCACAGCGATCCTCCTCTGCCTCAGCCTCCCAAGTGCTGCGATTACAGGTGTGCACCACCATGCCCAGCCCATTTTTCACTTCTTTTAAAACAACTTATCTTACTCTTCCAGTCTAAATTAGGGCCCCAGTTTTTTTCTTTCATGAAATAATATACATCCTGTATAGCATCGGTGATGATTTAAAACAATATATTTGCCTTGAAACATGAATGTTAAGCTTAGACTTTGAGTTTCTCAGCATACTGTGTTGTTCACTCTGTACACATATACCACTTAGTGCAGTGACTGGCACTTAATAAATGTTTGTCAAATGAAAAAAATGTAATTCTAATATATTTAATAACCTTGAAACACAAAGCCTGACTTGGTCCAAAGGGGTTTTTCCTCTTGGGCATATTTCAATTTATATGACAAAGCCAGTAAAGGAAGAAATTAGGAACATATTGAGGCTGCTGAAGTGTGTGAGCAGGGAAATCTTAAAATTATACTATTTGGATAGGGTTCCCAGTTGGGGGCGTTGGCAGGGTGCTGCTGAGTGGCAGCTCATTCTGGAAACAACAGCTCTGGTATGTCACTGTCAGCCGGAGCCAACCTAACACTGCTGCATTTTGAACTCCATCCACCATTGATCTATGCAGGAAGCAAGTTTTTTGACCAGAGTGAGGCTTAATGCTCCATTAGTTCGCTGAGGAAAAATGCCCCAGGACCCAGAGAGATGCATCTATAAAAAACAAACTCACAATAGACAGCCCAAGAGGCTTTTAATTCTTTTCATGATTTTAGAAACAGAATTAAGATGCGTATTTTTTAAAATGAAGAATGACTGGCATTCTTCCCGCTGAAAATGGAGTGTAATTTAATTTGTTAGTGGTTTATTTTATTTGACAGTCTTTGTACATACTCAATTTGGTTTGTTACACTGAATTACCCTTTAATAATGGGTACACATAATGCCAGGCTCTGCCCCCAGGTTGATTTGATAATTGGATGAGTGTCCATATTGTTCAAGGTTTTCATGACAATGAGGACAGAAGCTATTTGAAAAACCCCTAATCAGAAGAATTTTTCAGCTTCTTTTTTCCTTCAGTGGAGTTAATTGCTTCCCAGTGACCAGTCATTCTACTAATCACTTTTCCCAAGCAGTGCTAAATTCTGTAATTGTGACTGGATTCCCCGGGTAGTTGCCAGGGAAGTTATAAAACTCATAACCAATAGAAAAAGTCCAAAAAGGCAATCTCTCAGAATGACCATTCTTCTACCGTTGGGAGTTAAATGCAGCCTTACGGTAGGTAGGGGCTTGGAGCTGGACTCTCTAGTCCTTTAGTGCTTGGATGACCTTGGCCAATTTTCATGACCGCACGCCCTTCAGGGTCCACATCTGTGAAGTAACACCGGGAATCTGCCTCTGAAGGTCGTTACGAAGACACAGTATCATGATGTGTGTGAACTGCTCAGCGTTATCCTAACACCAAGCCAGTTCTCCGCAAATGGACCTTTGTTAGATAGTAGTTAGAAAGCCCTGTGTCAGGTAGGCTTTTGCAGTGCTACTGAGTTACAAAGTCCCACATTATGAAAGTGAGCACCAGTACTGACAAAGATGAAGTAACAAGCCCAAGTCACATGGCCAGTAAATGGCACATCCGAGATCCTTGCGCAGGTGTGTATGACACCAAAATTCCTGTTACACGCTCCAACCTCAAATTGTATGTTTGTATGACCCCTAGAAGACTTTTGAAAAGCTACTTATCCTTCTGGGCATTTCTAAGTAGACCACTCGGTTTGGACATTATAATATTAAATAATTGTAGAAAACGTGATTCTAAGGTTACTTTAGACACTGACAATTTAAAACAAAACTGTTAATCGCTTTTTTAATCCAGCCAATAGATCTTAAGTGCCTTTGTAACTGGATATTCACCAGTGCCCATCAAAAAAATATGTGAACAAGTTCTCTAACCCAATTCCTATTTAGAAAAAAGAAGTACAGCTTGCTGCCAGTTTTCATTTAATTTTATATAAACACACTCTTTGGTGGGCCGGGGAGTTTGCTCAGTGGCACTGCTTCTGCACTTGAGTTCAATCCCTAGTACCAAAAATAAATAAACAAATATGCACTCTTTGGGGCTGAAGCAAATCTGACTGGTTTTCAATGTGAAAATAAAATATAAGACTTTCTAAACAGAACTTGCCTCTAATCCTAGTATGAGATATTTCATGGCAATCTCTGGGAGTAAGGTCAGGACTGTGTATCAGTCAGTGCTCACTAGGAAAACAGATTCAATCCAAGATATACAAATATATGAGAATTTCCAAGATTGGCTTGCAGTGGTCGCCCACTGAGTCAGATGTGGAAAAGTGCACAAAGGCATTCTGTGTGTTGGAGATCCAAAGGATCTAGGTGAAGACCTGGAGCTCACTGTAGTGTCTCGTGTGGTTCTGTATCTGAAGGCTGAAGGCTCTGTGCTAGGGGCTAAGGGTCCGCACCAGAAGACGGAAGAGTTTGTGTTAGAAGGCAGGAGTTGACAAGCAAGGTGAAGGTGAGGACTGGAGCTCCTTTGAAGAAACAGAAGTGAGCCTTCCGTCCTCCTTTCCCTTCTGCCTTCAGTAAATCCCTTTCGTCACACCCAGAACTGTTCAATCCAGTTTAGCTGGGTGTTTCTTACACAAGCTGACACCATCAGTTAATTGTCACAGGCTATGATCCATGAGTTATGCTGGAGTAAGAGCTGTAGTCACAAGTGCCATCAGTGAACATTCTCAGGGAAGAGGAGCTAAAAGCATGTGCTTTTATTGCACTTGTCCAAAATAAATGCTAAAAGCACTTTTTATCATTTCTAAAAATGAATATAGATAGATATTCTTTTTCCCCTAAAAATATATGATTATTAGAGTTTACAATTGTCTTCTGGATTTTACTCATACTGTGGTTACCAATAGAACACAATACACCAAAGCAATATAATTCTGACAACTAATTATTAGACTTATTAGAAATGCATATTTTAACAAGCTGGTGTAGAAGCATTTATGGGGCCCTGATTAATAGTATCATCCAAGTGTCCCTCCCAGGAGCGTTTGAGTCTTGAATATTCAGGATGGGTAAAGTTCTCTTTCTTTCACAAAGGGGAAGTGGACGACACAGGGTACGGTTATCTCCTGAGAGGATCTGATTTAGGATGGAAGTGAGAGATGAGGAATGGTTTCCTTTAAAACCTCCACATACAGCTTGGGAGGTCATCACCAACCCCTAGAACACGGTGCCTGGACTGAAAACAGCTGCTGCATCCCCCAAGCTGTACCGCTTTGCAAAGTGTACTCCTTCTTTTTGGAATAAGGAGGGTCCAGTGGCTCTCACTTTATCAGATGCCTTGCTCCTCCTTGAAAGTGAAGTCTGTGTGCGCCTCACCTGTTGGTTTTCTCTCTAAACCTGCTGAAGGGGCAGGAAAGGTGACCCCTGAAGGAAGCCCAGGGATGAGGTGGAGTTTGATGGGAGGCTGGGATGTGGAAATCTCTCTGACAG